CAAGACGGATTTTGTAAAGGGGCAAATTTCCAATGATGAATGTCATTATATTGTGTACCTTAAATGTACCAATATAATGGCTTAAAAAAAGAAAATGATGAATAATACATGGTGCTACTACAAAGACTCCCTTTCTATCCTGTTATTGTCCTGAATATCTAGATTTGGTGAAGGTGTTGTATTAGCAGTTTCCATAGTATTGATTATGTCTTGGAGGTTACCAGGATGCAGACTTGCTTGGCCTTAATGTTAAGAGGCTACCCTAAGTTTTAAATTCTTGTGCCCTGGTAATTGACTGGATTTGCACGTGGAACACTAGAACTGTCCTTGTTCTTTTAGATCACCAAGAGCCATTCCCCATTTCATGGAACCTAGCTTTGGGTCTTTGTCTACCACTGAGGAAAGTCTCCAGCTTAGTACTTTTGCTCTTGCTGATCTGGATCTTCAGCATTAAGAAGAAAAAGAAGTCATTTTATTTCATGCTGACAAATATCTCCTACCCATATTTTCATATTTTCTATGTGCTTTTCAGGACTATGAAACTTGAATACATCCCATAAATGCAGCATCTCATCCCAGTTTGAACAACAAAGTTCATTCTTCTGGAAGAGAATAGGAGGTGGCTTGGTTAACACATGGGTACTAGTAGGTATTTTATTTTTCCAGTCTACATGATAGCAATAGAGGAGGTGTATGCCACTGTAGGGACACAGTCTTCAGTGTCTGCACTATTTTTTTCCCCAGAAAAATCTCAGATTCAGGTATAGAATGTGTCATCTCTGTACATCTCTTTCCTGATTCCTCCTGTCACTAATGGGATGTTTATATTTATTCTTACCTTACAGTGCTTATTAACTTCTCTACTAATTCTGCCTTTTCAATGAATTGTATTAATGAAGATAAGTTCTAAAACATGTGAAAATTCTAACAAATAAATGACAGTACATGGCTTAGTGAATTCTGGTTTGTTTGGTTACTGTTAAATATCAATTAAGTTAAAATAAAAAAATCACACTCAAGTTCTGGGACCACTTGAAACTCTACCCACTCTTGGTGGAAACAAAGAACTTATAACCACTTAGGAGAACAGTTTGGCAGAGGTCCAGAAAATTACTCTTCTACCCAACAGATGCATCTTGATTTCCTTCTGAAACAGTTATGAGAACACTTGCGGCACAGAGGTACTGTAGCCCTCTTGAGATCATTAGGCCCAACATTGAATGGCTATGCGTTGAGAGTCCCAAAGCAAGAATAAAGAATTTGGGTCCTTTCTACTGTCTCCAAGCTGCTGTGTCATTCCTAAATTTTCCAACACCCAGACTTCTGTTCACGGTTTTTAATATTGCCAGTTTCTTACATTGGCTTCTTTAAAGAGTCTAACTTATCCTGAAAAGAAAATCAAGACCAAGAACCCGGCTGGGCCTTAGAACTGCCTTTGTTGGAAGACAGACAGGAAAATGTGCTCGTGTGTATATGCCTAGGGGAAGTCTGGGGCACGAAGGGCTCGAAAGCATAATTGGTTATGTCCTCCCCTGCTGCCTTAGTCATGCTGTGCCAGTGCATAGGGGAACCCAGACAAGTTCAAAGAGTTTATAAATTCTGCTCGCTTCCTGTCTTTCTTTGTCATTTTATATGATTGACTTGAAACAGCCCACTTGTTTCCCTTAATTCCTCCTTCTCAAAGGGCCAATAACATGGGACTGTGGTTAAGGAATTCAAGTTAATGCATTTATGCTTTGCCTCACTGGCTCCAGCCACTCTGGATGCAGAAGCAGAAGGGACAGTGAGGTAATGCAAGTGCATTGTGAGCAACCAGCCATGATGACAGGGAGAGCTGACTGACAGCTCATCCCGGTCCTCCCTGTCTGCCCAGTTGTCAAGGAAACAGCATAAGAAACAGAGAACTCATGCAAACCAATACAACAGAAGCTGAATAGATGTTGAAAATTTCAAATGTGGGGTATATTTTTTATAGGATTACATTTGCCATATTCTGAAATTTGTATTTTCCACTTACCCAAGTTCTAAAATCCACGTTACCATTTATTCTTTTACTAACATCATTGAGACAGCATCCTACACAATCTATCCTTAGGAGGAATGTGCTGTGAATGATTACTGATAACTTTTCCCTTTTGATTATTCTGATGGACTTTTAAAATTCATAATAGGTACAAGATTCTAATAACAAGAATGTTTAATTTGCTGCAATTTCTGTTTGCTGATTGAAAGCTGAGTTCTTGCAGTTTTAAAATTGGGCTTTGAAATTCAGAAGGGCAAAGTGAAATGTGGACAGTATAAAGTTTACCTCGAGGTTCTGCTGTGATGTGTGACATGAGATGAAGACCAAATTCCACATACAGTGTTTAGGGGCAGTGATAGAACACACACCAGATGCTTATTTTTTCAAATGGCTGCACTCTTGAAAGAATATTATGAAAAATGTGTGATTCCAGAAAACTAAGAGGGGTGTATGGGACACTCAGATGACAAGCACATAGCTTGTTACAAAGAAACCTTAAAATTCAGTGAATTAAATGTGATGAGATGTCCCTGTCTCTGACAGAACAGCCCAGAAGGAAGAGGTCTTCCCATGACAAAAAACCTCTCACAGGCCCCCTGTCTTAAGTTTCCACCACTCCCAGTAGCACCATTGACAGGGAGCAAACCCACAGCACACTGACTTTGGGGGACATTTAGGGTCCAGACTTGAGCAAGAAGGAAGTCAAAATATAACCTCATTTTAATGCACTCCAGGATCAAATAGTTTTAGACAAAAATCATATCAAATCTTGAAAGCATCAAAAATTCAAAAAGTAATCCTAGTTTTAGTAGAACATGTTTACAGTACATAACGTTTACATTAATCTTAGGGATTAACAGATCTTGTTCTTTTTATTCCCCTTCGCCTCCCCTCTCTCCTCACTCCCACCATCACAGGATCCCCTTCCCCATTATCATCATCATCATCATCATCATCATCATCATTATTGATCATATTTGTGACACATAATGATTCCATTTACTGTGGGGAGCTGGGACATACACATGACACATCTTAATTCTTTTTATATCCCCTTCCTCTCGCCCTCCATCTTTTGGTTCTCTTCTTATTTGCAAAGATCTCTCTCCCTTTTTCCTTTTCTCTGTCTTTCACTTTGCTCTTTCTCCATACTACCTATCTCACCAATGAGAGAAGCCGTGTGGTACTTAGGTGTATGTGTCTGATTTATGTAACTTAACATTATGCTTTCAAGTTGCATGTTTCTAAAAGCTTGTCCATAGCAGGAGGAAGGATAATAAGCTTTCCAATTTATTTTAATTTTATTTTTATTAACGAATG